ATCGCTGAGTGTCAACCTCACATCGGCTTCTTCCGATACGGTGATATTGTTATTGACAAATCTTGCCGTATGCGTGGTGGAATGAATATTCATGCTTGGTATAAGAATATAAGGGCTCGAAGGTTGTGGTGAATGCAGTGTCTCCCAATAAAATTCCATAGGTTCGGCTGGCTTTGTTATTAACCTCATCCGTCTTTATCTCCATAGGTTCCGTAAAAGCCATAAGTCAATAGTTAAGTCAGTCAGTCAGTTTGTTAATGGATCAATGACTAAGACCATTTAGACCTTCAGTTTACCATTGATCACTCTACCAAGGTCCGGGAACCCATGGAATGCTTTTCTTCTCATGACAGACACATTACTAAAAGGATTATAAGATCATCATGGTGTCATTCGAACCATTAATTCATGAACACATCCTGGTTGAAACATAGTATTGGGATTGCATGGAAGTCCGGGTGTCGGGTGTTCAGCCAAAGTCGTGAGACAGCCTTACCATACTGTGTCACTTGAACATGGGGTTGCAAAGAAAAGTCACACCTTGCAGATTCTCGAGGCCCTGTATCCTTGTACATGAATGACTCAGCCCTCATCTGAATTACTTGTCACCTGCTAGGCCGACCTGCCCCCAGGGTGGTGCGGCGGCTCGGGCGAACCAGCGGCCGCGGAGCGCATCACTGATAGACCGGTAAGCCCATGTGGCTCCACTTTGTGGTGCGAGGTCAAAGTGACGGTATAGCTTAGAGGCGAAATTTTCGGCTGGAATAGACTAGATAGCCGTTTGCATCACCTGTTAATGGACATGGGAATGGTACCTGTTACACTATCTCCCTATGAGGCTATACCCGGGTCTGTGCCTTGGCCGTGAAGGCTGGTCGGGATTCTGCCGAAGCGGTGGCCTTTCGGCGGTGAGTCCACAGGCCGCTCGGCAGTGCGGCTGAGAGGAAGCGCTATATCCACGCTGCACAACCTTCCCTATATTCCCCTCTGTCGACGATGAGTCGGTCAGAGACCGGTAGTCTTGCGGCAGGGATCTTACGGAGAAGCCAGCCTGAATGCACGACCTCGTAATACCCCTCTCTCAGCTGAATCGGACCGTCTTACGTGTCTAGCCGGCAGCCGGTCCACGAGGAAGAATGTATATTAAATAGCTCGAGAGTAAGAGCTCCTTCAGAAGATTCTCAAAAAGCAGTCTTTGACTCAATTGGACTTAGTGTTTTCTCCTACCTGATTGACAGGCCATCTACCCTACAAGTAGATACTATTACAGTACTGCAGTGTCTCCTTCCTCCCGCCGATCATCCGAGCTGATCCATACGTTGTGATAGACGTAGCGTGGTCGATCCCTCGGCACCTAGGGCTTAATGCGGGCGAAATACTGTAGTGTAAACATCCTCCACTAAGCTTGTTAAAGTTGTTGTTGCATTCGCAGTGATCAATTAGCGTTTCAAATCAAAGGAGACGGGGACTCAACGACGGCCATAACATATATCCTGCTGGAATCGGACCGGGTATCTAATAGTGAAGTGAATAACAGGGGAAAGAGAGCGTGTCATTAATCACTAATGCTTGTTGACCACTGCAGGTGCGATGACAACTTTGAGAAGATTGGTTGGAGATGTCTCCACACTTATGCTGTCTACCAAACAGTGGATCGCTCCACTGCTAGCTGAGGTCCAAAGACAGTTGAGTTGTGACTGAGCTACATTCTGTTACGGAATTGATTAATATAAAATAATTTCTTGTTTATGTGCTTTCTTTACTCAACCTATAGTATGTGCCGTAAAAATCTTGTGTATTGATTAATGCTCTTCTGAAGAACGGAGTGGCAGTGCGAGAATGTGATTTGACGCCACATAGCTGCTGCATACGTTGCGTTTTATGGAGAGCGGACCTGTGTGGCTGGCTGGGGACTTCAAATACGACTACTGCAAGCGAGAGCATTTTTAAGCGTAAAAGTCAAACTCCACCCAAGACATTTAATGGTGTAGTTCTTCCCCTATCAACAGATCTTCTGCAGAAATTACGAAACCTGGATGTTGAAGGGCTCAGTTTATCACCAAATCCAATACACCTGATCCTGAAGGTGCTCTCGCACCCGGCAAACCTTCTTTGAGAATTTGGAGAAAACCATCCTGATATCAATTTCATTCGCTTTCAATGGCAGGACTACTCAGGAGTGGCTCGGGCTTGAGTGCTCATCTTTGTGTCATTAGTCTAATTACCGCAGAAGAGCCTATCCACGTGGCAGGAATTGCAATCGACTGCACCATTACCAATGAAATCTTGGTCCAGAAACCACCCAGAGACGTGCTCTTCGCGATCCCAGATTGGCCAACCCTGAGGGTATTATCTCACCTGGGAACGGCATTTGTGATGTGTGCTTTGGATTATCAGATACAGGAGCTTCCACTCAAGAGTGATCTATGCCCATGGTGGACACTTACCAAAGTGCTTAAAAAAGCACGCCAGACTTAGGGACTGGACTTCCTCGTGGGATTCAAAGTAGAGTTCATGATTATGAAGTCGCAATCATATTACACGACTGCAATAACTCAATATAGCAATGGCGTGGGCTACTTTGCCATCTCTGGCTTCTGGGATCTATGCTATCAATATGTGGAAGAATGTGTACATAGACTCTGAGCTTAAGGAGCACAGATTCAAGCAATACATACAGAGGGCTTCTAAGGGCAGTATGAGATTGTCTTACGGCCTCTTCCACTAATGCAAGCAATTAATCAATTGGTACTTGTGCACGACTACTTCAAAGGCACGTTCTGCTGTTATGGATATATGCTTACTATGTCTCTAAAACCTATGGCTACAGAGTCCCAGGTAAATGGCCAGAATATGCACCTCTTACACCAACCTGTGAGTCCCTCTCTTGAAGACCCATTCTTAGTGGGAATTCTGAAGCAACTTCCCAGTCTATATGCTTTTTGTTTGCCATTAGATGCGTTATATGACCAGCTGGAGGTGCATATAGATGGAGAGACCATCTCATGGGGAACATATTTGTGGCTTGTCCCCATTCGAAAGGTTGAACCTAGCCACTGGGAAATCTGATGCATTGACGTCACTGCAAATATGTACTCTAACTAGACTAACTATAGGCAGGGTAGTCTAGTCCCTAGTGCGTGAACGACCTAATGTACGCTCCATTTACTTACCCGCCCATTGGTCGCATTTTGACGTTCCCGCGTGCTGCGGCTGTGTGCCCCTAAAACCCTGGCTTTCTTTCCCCCAGCAGCCGCCCCCCCAACCCTTCAGCCCTACTATCTATGATCCACAACACTTTCCTCTTTTTGGATTTACAGTTGGTGAGTTGCAGGCAGGTGTTAAGATGCTGCCGCCAACGGTCCGCTGGTAGATGGTAGATCTCTATTCAGATGGTACAACCTCTCTCCCATACCCCCCTTACATCCAGTTGACTATCAGAACAGACCTCAGTGAGGGTCTGAAGAACTCCCTGATAGAGGATTATGCCAATCAAAAGAACCAACAGACGGAGAAATATATCGTAAGATTCGGCAGTATGAGCTGAAGGACAACGAGGCTTTCTAACAATGTTGGTTCGTCCGATATCTGATTATCGCCGAGCAACCAAGATCGCCTGGACCGACCGGATAATAGAAGGGACCGTTGTTTCTGATGAGTATCTGATTGATTATTGCGAACCATGAACTTTGGCTTCATGGGATGAGAATCAGTATGTTTCCCAGTTTAATAGCGCTGGTTATATGAAAGTAAACTATGGAATCCCCCCCTCCCCCCCAAACCTCTTCCGGTGCTTATTCCAGTGCCGTACTGATCGCAACTTGGGAAGGCTGATGACAAGGTGATTTATGGGATGACCGAACTCAGCTGCTGGCTTGGATTTGATTCAGTAGAGACCAGGTTGTTAACTGGTGGCTCTCCTGACCATCAGATCGCACAGGCCACCTTTCTTCAAGCTAGGAAACTTGGTCGCTTCCGATATGACCCGCAGCGGTTTGACGCTGTGGTTCAGTGAGTTGTTGGGGCCATACTCTTGTAGTGATGTAGAGATTAGACGCTCATAGTGGGCTCTTAGGAATGTTTGGTGATTAGTTCCTGCTGGCACTGCATTAATCAGACCTATCCTAACATTCAGTCTCTTTATACCCTAACTACCTGGACAATATTCACATATGGTATCTCTCGCTATGCGACTGGAATAAGGAGGTTATTTATCACACTGTATCTTCTCAAGCTGGTAGGAATCACATGATGCTGGTTGTTGCCAAGCACTTCGCCTTGGCCCTGGAACCTGATCATGGAATGGCTGCTTCAGCAAGCTCATTTGAAGAGAATGTCCAGGTGCAAAGGGTATTGCTATGTAAAAGATCTAAAGGTGAGTGACTATAGGAGCACACAGGAATATCATATCTTAACTAATCAGCAGGTGAGAAAATTCACCCTGCCTTAGGTGGAATTAAGCCTGGGGATAAGGGTTTGACCATAATCAATCTAGCTGAAAATCAAACCATATCATCCAGGTCATCCTATATATCCCCACCAGCTTCCTCCCAATAAGCAACCATATTATCCCACATAAGGAGTTTCACAACCCGCTGTCTATCATCTAAACTCAAACCAGATTCCATCACACCCTCAAACATACGCTGCATCTTATATCTCGCAAAATAACACATCATCGCGACATCATCCATGTATAGATCTCGCCCATCCTCACGCACAGCCCACACATTCCCAATCTTAATATTCTAATATGGAGAAGCCCAGCCCCATGCCTTGCTGGAAGGATCCATCTCAACCATCATAAACATAATGTTTGGATTACTATCCGCCGTCATGACCTCCTCCCATCCAGCTGGGTAAGTGTGAAACTCGTCGTCTTGGTCCTTCCAGAATCGTATCGGCATCCCCAAACAGACTGATACAGGTGAGATAGATCCCTCGCCAAGTGCAATCCTGTTTGCGCGGGTGATAACGACGCCTATAAAGGACTCTGACCTATGGAGTTTCACCTCCCCATAGCAGCAGATCTTTACCCCGTGGACGGTGGTGTTGGCACGGTGGTGCAGGTCTGGGACGCTTTCCTGAATGTGGGTGTTTCGGTAGCTAACGAGGTAATCCATCAGATGGCGGAAGTCGGTGAGAGTGATATCATCGTAGTCTTCATGGTGGATTTCCTAGAGGGCGATCATCGGCCCGCGGTATTCATGTGCTGGGATGGATGTGCTGGAGGCTTGTATGGAGGCGGATATGCTGCGGTTTGTGAGCGATCCATCTCTGAGATAGGCATCACAGTGAAGAATGGAGATGCAGTGGCCTTGCTTATATGGAGCCCAGGCTGTGAACCCCGAGCCTAGGTTTTAGTTTCAAACAGGGTTGTGTTCGATACGCATTGTCCCTTTTAGCGGTTGGTCTGGGCCGAGGTATGGGTGGTGATCGGCTTTTGTCCATGGGCCAAGGTCATCATCATCATATTAGCGTCGACAGGGGATCCATACCAAGCGTGGCTGGTCTGTGTTAACTGGGAAGAAGATGGCCCGCTTATACTCTAGAGAGGGTTGAGAGGGTTCAGTAGCAAGTTATCTGCAGAGATGCTGATGGGAAGGGTAGTCACTGCGCTAGCAGTCTAGGGAGCAGTAGTATGTGCTTTGATAGTATTTACACAGACGTCCTGTGGTAGTATGGCACATGATGTAACAGTCTTCAGGCTCAAAATTGTCCACCAGGTGGTGCCTAGGTTTTGTTATTAGGGCGATTCCTTCACTTTTTGCCATGGCGTAGTCAGTTAGTTAGTTAATTATGCGTTATGGGCTAGAAGACATGGGAAGCCAGCCTTATTAAATCATTAGCTTGTTCTAATGAACGGCCTGTTTACTCTTAAATGACTGTACATCTTTCTCCCTCTTTTGCAATTCCTCTAGAGTCAAGTGTGAAAGGTCGGATACAACGCTAGACTACATAGTATTCACAGCCTGGCCTTTCTGCCTAGGGCGCACCAAATCATCAAGAAAACCCCTAATGCGGTCTACAAGACTGCTCTCTAAACACTAAACAGCGAGCTGGACCATATCTGCACTTAAGTTCAGCACGCCCCAGGCAGGATAATAAACACTATGTCGTCCACATATGGAAACTGGACTCAGCAAAGTATCCAGAATGGTCTCACAGAGTAAACAGTTTTTTTTACTGCACCTAAAGTAATCTAGTGTAGGTGGTGGTGCAAGTCTCTCTTCATAGTGCAGCACTAGCTGCATCTCAGCATGCAGAGAAAATGCCTCTGCACAGGTCTTTTTAAACTCCTTATTAAAGTGGTCAAGCCTCTGGATCACGCACTTAGGCAGTGATCCCAGACCTAGTTATTCCCACGCTGTGAATATTTCAATCACGTATCTAGGATCTAGGGTTATCTTTAATTTGGAAGAAATTAGCATGATTTTACAGTTTTGAAAATGCGGCTCCCGCATTACTATTAAGGCTAGTAATTGGCAGTCAGCTAGAGATCTTATGAGAAAGTTTAACTTACTCCAGAGCTTTGTAGCGGTCTGCGCTCTAAAGTTATCTAATAGGGTTTATTGTATCTCTGGTGTGTTAACATATTTATAGGCCTGCTGGACTATCAGGACTCTATATTTGGTGGCATCCTGATTAGGATAGGATCATAGTATAAGATCCCTAAACATTATCCAAGTATTCGCCTCTTCCTGCCCAGGGGAAGACTGAGGAAGACTGTTAGTGCTATTAAGGTGATGCTTAAGAACCTTATATAGATCTTCAATCCAATAATCAACCCAATAGCGCGCGAAGTTTATCACCTTCAGCTTAAATCCTTTTAGTGAAGTCGCAGTTACTCCCATGCTACCTAGCAGTCACATTCAGTCCTTAAATTCTTAAACCACCACCAAGACACCAGTCGCGTACATACCTTTATTACAGCCAGCTAGATACCCCTCCAACCTCATATAGTAACTGATGACCGCACTATCAACCCAATCCCCACATGAAAGAAATCCATCATTCCTTGCAACATCCACCTTAACTGCATCCTCTCCTTCCTGTATTGCTGTGGTAGTAACCCCATTCCACCCCTTACACAGTGACAGCAGCTGCGCAATGCAGTCAAGAAATTTCTCACAAATGGAAGCCTGAGGACTGGATAGAATCACTGCTCTTTCTATCTCATAGTCAGTCTCATTATTACTTACCTCATTTATATCATCATCACATTTGGTGTTGTTCTTAGTGTCCTGGGGCTGCTTGTTATGGCTTTAGGTATTTATAAGATAGGATAGGATGTGAGCCGCCCAGATAATGCATGCGATGTATTCATGGTGCGGGTGTCTTGCTGTTTTAAGGGAGGCGGACATCTTATAAAGTAGATAGGTAGGTGTTCTTATAGAGAGGCTAAGAATTTGAAATGACCCCACAGCATCTCTCCACATTTATTTAAGTTAGGCATGAACGGATCCCATGCCATTAGCTAAATCCAAAGGCCACTATTAGTTAACTAGGAAACATTGATTAGTAACCATACCTAATTTAGACTGGTGGCTAGCTTCCTGAAGCGGTTTCAGAGCTAAGGCTCCCAGCAGCGCCGTTCCAACTCACGCAAAAGATTTAACGCATGCAATTCGCCCAATCCACAATCTCGTCAGGGGAAGGAGACAGGAAGTACTCAGTACTATCATTAAGCAAGGGCCCATCATTGAATTAATTTACTCCACCTAATCAATCTATAAAGACCAACCAGCATCCTTTTATAGATTTCATATCCCCTGGCTGATTTCAACGACCCGGAAGTTATTCAACCATGGACTGCTATATGAAATAAGAAAAAATTATGTATATCTCTCTGCAGGTAAAAAAGCACATCTGCCGTCTCCTTAGTGTTTTGCTTGTGGACGGACTCAAAAATAGTGCTTATAGAAGGCTGTGTTCTATTAAGAAGGAGAAAGTTCGAATGGCATAAGGAGAATGCTTTTGATATCTCTCAGCCTAGTAATAGTGTTATGCGCGGAGTCCACGTTTCCTATACTAATTATGGGTGACCATAAGGTCTAGTGAGCAGAGAGTCCATGCCAATTCCCACCTACTCTGGAGTCTATGGGTCCCCTCCATCCTACCTTAGTGGAGTCTAGAGTTGCATTCAGTCCAAGTTCGGGCGAGTCCAACCCTAGTTAGAACCGAACCGCTGCGATTTCGAGTCCAAATTTTAGAAATTGGAACCAACCCTGACCCGTTCTAATTTAGTGCGAGTTTAACCGCAAAATCCGCTACTAGGCCTAGATAGGCAGTTACTAGCCTATCTAGGTGGGCGGTATGCCTAGGCAATACCAAAAATTTCAATGGTGTTTAGAATTCAATTTCTCCTATCTTAGGCCTATACTAAGGGCCTATTAAATATGCTTTTATAAAATTATAATTTTAATATAAAATATATGGTAATTATAGTCATTTTATAGAATATATCTAAAATATTAATTCAATACCTATAGGGTTGAATGGGTGGTGGTTAAAAATCATTCTTTAACTATAGTGATTATCAACAGTGATGTGTACTATGGTATGTTGAGTAAGTAATGTTAGTATGGTGGGTCACCGAACTGCGTAGAATTAGGATGAACTCTGTGTCCATATCATTTAAGGATATCTAGTAGACCATGACCATCAACATCAATTCTTTACTAAATATCTATATGGCAATATGACTCCTTCTACACCTACTTATTTTCAACTAACTAGAGATGAGCGCCTGCAAATCCTAACTCTGCGCTCACTAAATATGAAATATGAAGATATTGCAAAACACTTAGGTGTTTCTATACGTCAGGTCCAGCTAGCCTGCCAGGCTGGTCACCCTACCCCTTCTAAAAGGTCTGGTCGGCCGTTAGCAATGAAAAATGAGGAGATAGACTATCTTATAGGGTTTATCACCTCATCAAGGTATGCAAGATACCTTACTTATAGAGAATTAGCCTTACATCTTGACCTAGGCTATTCTCAATGGGCAATCCGATCAGCCTTACTTTCTAGAGGCTATCGAAGATATGTTACTCAAAGGAAACCACCACTATCTCCTGAGAATAAGCAGAAACGACTCCTCTGGGCACAAGAGCACCTTAACTGGTCTCCTAGTCAATGGGAAGCTATACTATGGACTGATGAAACCTAGGTAAATCCAGGTCACCATACACGTACGTGGGTTACTCGCCGTAAGGATGAGGTCTTCCATGAAGACTATATTGTTGAACGGCGCCCACGTAAGATAGGATGGATGTTTTAGGGCTCATTTCATAGAACTACAAAAGGCCCTATGGTATTCTGGGAGAAGGAATGGGGAACAATTAATGCTCAAAGCTATATTCAACATATAGTGCCTCTTATAACAGAGTATATCCATCATCATCCACATCTTCAACTAGTACAGGATGGTGCTCCAGGCCATGGTGCTCAATCTACTATCCAGGAGCTTGAGAGGAATGGAGTCTATATGATTAGATGGCCCCCCTTCTCACCTGATCTCAATCTCATTGAGATGGTATGGAATTGGATGAAGAACTATCTTCAGGCAAATTTCCCTGAACATATAACTCTATCTGAGCTTAAAATAGCCCTTAGAGAGGCCTGGGATGCTATTCCACCTGATTTTCTGCAAGATCTACTAAAATCTATGCCTGAAAGGTGCCGTGCAGTTATTGAGGCAGGTGGTGGTCATACTAAATTTTAAGATATCATTGTGCGTGTATGTATATTCGATAGGGCGTGTATATAGGCTGGAAACTCAACTTTACCTAATAAAGTAGTGATTTCCAGTGGAGCTTACTAACATTATTTACTCAATATACCAGAGTATATTGGGATATTCATATTCGCAGTGGACGTGGAGCCTTTGAAGTGTGTGAGGGTAGATGGTAGGCCAGCAGCCACCCTATATATATCCCACTAACTTTGAGGGGTTCCTGTAATGGAGTGGATGCAGATTGGGTTACATCGTTACCTTGCATTACATCTATGTATGATATCACCTACCTACATCTACGCATCATGGCCGAAGTGCCATCAAACCATTAGTAAATGTATATGGGAGTGTTTTCTCCTTATCTGTCCTGAGGAAGACAAGGATTAGTCTTGTATTAAGGGGATCAACTAAATATACTATTCCTTCCCTCCTCATAATTGTTACTAATCCTTACCTAGTTAACAGGTTATCTACCCTAGAGTTGCATAACCGAACCGCTAAAATCGAATCCGACCCTCACCGAACTCGCAGCGGTGAGGGTTCGGTTCCTAGCCTAGGGAATCGCACCGGTTTCGGTTTCCATAGGGTGAAACCGATTCGAGTTTGGTTAAAACCGTTGGT